GAGAGAGAGAGAGAGAGCACATGAGAGGGGGGAGGGTCAGAGGGAGAAGCAGACTCCCTGCCGAGCAGGGAGCCCGATGCGGGACGCGATCCAGGGACTCTAGGATCATGACCTGAGCCGAAGGCAGTCGCTTAACCAACTGAGCCACCCAGGCGCCCTCCCACTCTTTTAAAGTAACAAGTTTCAAACATAGGAACCTCTCCTCCTCAGTTGTGTTGCACACATCCTTGGTTTTGAGCAGAAGATACCAAATTGGATTAAACGGTCTTTATTGACTCAGAGTCAAATGAAACAGAACTCGTGTGAGCGCTATGTAGACCCCAAGGACAAGGCAGATCTGGGTCAGGCCTCCTCTACCCCACACGGCGGGCTTGGGGCCACGATGGTTGGGAAGTTTCCTGTCTGCTTTTTATAGCTTCTCTGGGTCCTGTCACTTTTGCTTGCTGGAGCACCTTGCCTTCATTCTGTTTTGTTCTCTCTATTGGCTTGTGATATCGGATAACCAAGCCTGAAAACGGGTCCCTACGTGTCAAAACTCTAGCTTTGTGACCTTGACAAAGGGTCTTTATTTCACTTCTCTGTCCCTCAATTTCTTCATCTGGAAGGTGGAAATGGACACACCACATACTCTGGGACATAATTGAAAAGATTACATGGAGTCAGACACAGCGAATGCTCAGGGCAAGGCCTGGAGTATAGTAAATACATAATAATTATGAAGTACTATTTAAACGATAATTTGATATTATGAAGAATGAAAGCATTTTCCGATAAATAGCAGGCATGCATTTCAGTGCCTGTATTTTGCACGGCAGGAAGGTTTTTCATTTTTTGTTGGCTTATTTCCAGTTTCCTGGTGTGGCTAGATGGTGAGCTCCAGAAAACTCAAATCCTGAGTCTCAGCACTTGGGGCCTGGACTAGGCTTATTAGCTGAGAATATTTTCTTAAGTGCACAATCTCTAGATCTGTCTCCCTCCTGTGGTCCACCTTCCCTCACCCTCATGCCTGCATTTCACGGACAGGTAAGTAAGCACAGGGACAGTGACATTGACTGTCCTTCATTTCACACTTACCCAGCAAGGAGCATGGTACTTAGTGCTTTATCTACATGCTGTTTTTTGCGGCCTCACAGGTGAGGTTTTTTTAATATGAACTGATAAATGAAATACAAAACACAGATGAACGCTTAAAACATTATACCAAATGAAAGAAGCCAATCACAAGAGACCACATATTGTACGATTCCATTTATATGAAATGTCTGGAACAGGCAAACCCATGGAAACAGAAAGTAAATCAGTGCATGGGGTGGTAGATGTTGGGGGATCCTGGAGGTGCCAGCTAAGGAGTGTAGGATTCCTTTAGAGGGTAATGAAAATGTTCTAAAGTTGACTGAGGTGATGGATGCACAATCCTGTGAATATACAGAAAGCCATTGAATTGTACACTCTAAGCGGATGGATTATATGATATGTGAATTATACCACAACAAAGCTGTTTAAAATGTAGAAGGAGTTACGGAAATCGGTCATCACCATTTAGCAATTGTCCTAGCTACAGTTGATCGGGCAGGAGGTGGAATAAGATCTAATCTCAGACTACCTCCCCACAACATACTAACTCTATATGCAGGGAAAATGATGACTTCACAGTGGAGAGACCTGGCAGATACCAACTTGGCCAGGAAATTAGGGTTCATGGCGGTGAAGGTGGGTGGACACCATGTGCCTCCTGATGAGATACCCCGAGAGAACACAGCACCACCCTGGGGGTCTCCCTACCAAGAATGAATGACCTGAGTCCAGTCACAAAGAAACACTGGACAAGACCCAGGCTAAGGTTATCCTACACAATGAAAACCTTGTACTTTCAAACAGATAAAGACATGAGAAACAAGGAGAGACAGATCAAAAGAGACTAATGAGACAACTGCATACAATCCATGTTCCTGGATGGGATCTTGGACCAGCAAGGAGGAAGAGAGCTCCCCGGGACAGTGGAGCAATCTGAGCGGAGCCTGTGGATTGGAGGATAGGGCGTGTCTGTCCGTGATTCCCTGATTGGGAAAGCTGTGCTATGGTTGTACAGAAAAGGGTCCTTGTTTGGGGGAGGCACATACAAGAGAATTGGGGGAGTTTGGGTACGGGGCCTGCTTTCCAATGGCTCAGAAAAAGACTAATGATAGTGTGTGTTTGTGTGTGTGCCCACGCACACACCTGTAGAGACAACAAGAATAAGAACAATGGGATGAATGAGGTAGAATGTTAACTGCTGAGGAATCTCACGAAGCAGATACATGAGTTCTTTGTACTGTTCTTGCAACTTGTCTGTAGGTTTGAAATTATTTAAAAATAAATAATTTCAGGGGCACCTGGGTGGCTCAGTCTGTTCAGCGTCTGCCTTCGGCTTAGGTCATGATCCCAGGGTCCTGGGATGAGCCCCACATCGGGCTCCCTGCTCAGCGGGGAGTCTGCTTCTCTCTCTGCCCCTTCCCGTGCTCATGGTCTCATGCCCTCGCTCTCTCATGCGCTCTCTCTCAAATAAATAAATTAACTCTTAAAAAAAATCACATGAAAGAGCTATAGGGTCATATAATAGACTGTGTATTCAACTACATTTCTCCCCCATATCTAGAGAGATTATTTACATGGAATTTTTTTATATCCCCTCTCTACAAAAACTCACCACAAATGTGTGTATGTGTGTGTGAGAGAGAGAGACAGAGACAGAGAAGCAGAGAGAGGTGGAAAAAGGAGGAAAAGGGGAAAGAGAAGCAAGCAGTGTTAATGAAAAAAGGTCTACTTTTTAAGACTCTAACGTGGCACTACTACTTAAAGCAAGGATGCAAGGCCCACCACACCCCCCCAATACTTGCTCAGTGTTGCCCAAAGCTCTTTCCAAGGTGATACTGTACCTTCATCCCAAGGTTAGAGATGAGACTCCAGATACCATCCTCTCCTGCCCCAAATAAAGGAAGTAAGAGTGATTCCAGTTCACACAACTGTGTAAATGGCTAATAACAGAGCCTCTCCTGAGTATTGAGAATTTTTTTTAAAGGAGAAAAAAGAAATCCGAGTGGAAAGAGAAGCAACTAGAAACGGAGAGAAAGTACAGAAGGCAAATCAGTGGTCAATAATGGTGGTGACAGCCTATCCAGATACTGGTTCTTTCCCCCAGTGACTATGGAAATCTAAAACACCTGCCCACACCCCCGTTTTAAAAAAGTAATGAGAGCTGCTATTTATAGTCTGCTTGGTAGGGTAGCAGTTGCCGCACCAAGCGCTCCATACACATCATCACCCTTACGTCTCACAGCTCCCCAAGGGTTGGATACCCCTACCATACCCGTTTCACAGATATATAACTGCAGGTTCAGAGAGTGTAAGAAACCTGGCCAAGGTCACACAGCTAATGAGTGATGGAGCTAAGATTCTGAGCCAGGTCAGCTTGCCGGAGAACCCAAGTTCATTACCACTACCACAAAGCTCTCGATGCAGCCGTTCTCGCGATTGTTTCATCTGTAGAAGGGTCTGCTGATTGTCAACCAGGCACTCAATCTGCACTAGGATTACAGAGTATTCTACACGGTCTCAGCCTGAACCCAAATCCTAACTTTTTGGTTGGGAAGATCAGCTCAAAGGAACTCGGGGTTCGCTCCCCACTCACTGTCTGCCCCGCCTTCCCACACCTGTGTTACTGACGCTCTCTGTCCGAGTGGCTCTTCCAGCAACATCTGGAGCCTCACCCTGAGCTCCACCCTGGCCCCTGCTGGGAGACATAGGTCTCTAGGGTTCTCGGGCTGGTGGGAAGGGACTGGTAACTGTGAGCGTTGTAAACTGGTTGATTCTGTGGCACTGACAGAAGCTCGGGTTTAAGCCAACTCCTCCAAAGTAGTATGATTGGGATGGAACCTTCCCAGAGCAGAGGGAACCTTGGAAAACACCTCCACCGCCTCCTACATCCGGTTCTGCTGATGTGACATCTATTCTCTGCCTAAGCTTTATTTGTTTGTACTTGTCTTCTTACTAAAATTTCGTAAGACTGGTTTTTTTAATGAAATCTTGCCATTTGCAACAGCGTGGATAGAACTAGAGGCTAAGTGAAATAAGTCAATCAGAGAAAAATCAGACAAGTATCATATGCTCTCACTGATACGAGGAATTTGAGAAACAAGACAGAGGATCATGGGGGAAGGGAGGGAAAAATGAAACAAGACGAAATCAGAGAGGGAGACAAACCATAAGAGACTCTTAATCTCAGGAAACAAACTGAGGGTTGCTGGAATGCAGCGGGGTGGGAGGGATGGGTTGGCTGGGAGATGGACATTGGGGAGGGTATGCGTTGTGAACTGTGTAAGACTGATGAATCACAGACCTGTACCCCTGAAACAAATAATACATTATATGTTAATTAAAAAAAAAAGGATTCAAAATCCTACCAACTAAAAAAAAAAAAAAAGACTGTTTTTTTAAATCTCTCCGTTTAATTACTTTATGCCGAAGCAGGGATTGCTCGATTGACCTGGCACCGCATCCACCCTACACTTGTTCGCGGAGGATTTGTGTCTCTCCTTAACCCGGAACAGCCTCACCTGAATCCTCCACCAATCTCCTTCTGAAACACCTATGAGGTATATGTTGGAGCCCTTCAATCAGTCTTTCAAGTTACTTAACTGCTCTCACAATTTTTATTCTATTTATCTCTCGAAGATGCATCTTGGGTAAATACTTCAATGCGGTGAAACATTTCTCTTGTCAGTTGCTTCCAGCGCAGAGTTTAATGCCATCTCTTGAGTTTTGTATTTCAGTAATCATATTTTTCTATTTTTTTAAAGATTTTATTTATTTATTTGAGAGAGAGAGAGAATGAGAGAGCCAGCATGAGAGGGGTGAGGGTCAGAGGGAGAAGCAGACTCCCTGCCGAGCAGGGAGCCCGATCCGGGACTCGATCCCGGGACTCCAGGATCATGACGTGAGCCGAAGGCAGTCGCTTAACCAACTGAGCCACCCAGGCGCCCTAAAGATTTTATATATTTTAAAGAGAGAGAACACACGAACAGGGGGAGGCATAGAGGAAGAGGGAGAAGCAGGCTCCCCACTGAGCAGAGCGCCCGATGTGGGACTCGGTCCCAGGACCCTGGGATCATGACCTGAGCCAAAGGCAGACGTTTAACCGACTGAGCCACCAGGCGCCCAGTAATCATATTTTTCATTCCAAGGACTTGAAACCATTTTTTTCATATCCATCTGTACTTTCAATCTCTGCCACTGCTTGTCTCCTAATTTCTCATCTTTCATCTCTGGGAGACCCCAAATCATATTATTTGAAAGCCAGGTTCAGATTTTATTATTTTCATTTCTTTTTTTTTAAAGATTGTATTTATTTATTTGACACAGAGAGACACAGCGAGAGAAGGAACACAAGCAGGGGGCATGGGAGAAGGAGAAGCAGTCTTCCCGCAGAACAGGAAGCCCGATGCGGGGCTCGAACCCAGGACCCTGGGACCGTGACCTGAGCCGAAGACAGACGCTTAATGACTGAGCCACCCAGGCGCCCCTTACTATTTTCATTTCTTGAAGAATTCATTTTCAAAAAAAAAAAATTCATTTTCTAGGTTATTGACTTAAAAATTTTTGCTTTTTCTTAGCATTCACTTTCTTCAGTTGAAATTTTAGTTTACAGAGTCATCTTAAGTGGGGGCTTCTCCTCCATGTTTTCTCTGTTCAGCCCCCAGCCCCCACCATCACTCATTCACTCAGCCCATGGGCCTCACTGTCCCCGGGCCAGAGCCAGAGGCTATATGGCAGCTGGGCTATGGCGACATGGAGCTTGGGACATGGCTAGGAGGTCCCTCTGCTTCCTCCCACCTCCCTGGGTGCACAGTTAGCTGAAAGCACGAGCACCAGACAGCTGTGGCAGCATTCTTCAGTCTCCTTCACAGCTGGGGGAGCCCCAGCCCAGTGGCCCCCCACCACAGCTGGGACACCTTGAGTCCCTCTTAGGCCACAGGAGTTAAGCTTGGAACTGCCTTTCCTCTATCTGAACCCAGAGGCCAGCCACCGGGGCACTCAGCCCCACCTCCATGGTGGGTTTCTCTCGTTTCTGGTCCAAGGACATGTAACTTACCTAATATTGATATCAGTTATGTCTTTCTAGATTTCTCATCTTGAGTTTTTTTTCCCCTACCACCTCTGTATATTTGGAATGGAATAGAATTGAAAGGCCTTTAAAACATGAAGTTATAATGCTATATTCCTGGGACTGCCATTCATTCTCACCATTAATTTTTTCTTATTATATTTACTGTGTTCTTTTAAATCATCTTAAATCCTTTCTGTTACTAGGAATAGTATACATACTGTATTTGTTTTCTAGGGCTGCCATAACAAAGGACCACAAACTGGGTGACTTCGAACAACAGAAATCTCTCACAGTTCCAGAGGTCTGAAGTCCAAGATCAAGGTGTCCGAAGGGCCATGCTCTCTCTAAAACCCAGAGAGGAGATTCCTTCCTTGTCTCTTCTCTATTCTGGGGTTTACCAGTGTCTTAGTCAGCCCAGGCTGCTCTAACAAAATGCCATAGGCTGGTATATGGCTTAACGATAGACATTTATCTCTCACAGTTCTGGAAGCTGTGAAGTCCAAGATCCAAGTGCCGGATGATTTGGTTCTTGGTGAGGGCCCTCTTCCTGATTTGCAGATGGCTTCCTTCTTGCTGTGTCTTCATGTGGTGGACAGAAAGAGAGAGAGAGCTCTAGTCTCTCTTCCTCTTCTTATAAGACCACTAATCCTAGCATTGGCTCCACCCTCATGACCTCACGGAAACCTATCTCCCAAAGACTCCGCCTCCAAAACCATCACGTCAGGGTTGAGGGCTTCAACATGTGAATTTGAGGGACGCGCAAACATTCAGTCCGTAAGAGCTGACAATCCTTGGTGCTTCCTGGCTTACAACTGTGTAATTCCAATCTCTGCTTCCATGGCACGTGGCGTTCTTCTCCCTCCATCTTTGTTTGTCTCTCCTGCTGTTATGAGGACACTGGTCGTGTTAGATTAGGGTCCACCCACGGGGCGCCTGGGGTGGCTCAGTCGTTAAGCGTCTGCCTTAGGCTCAGGTCATGATCCCAGAGTCCTGGGATCGAGCCCCACATCGGGCTCCCTGCTCCGCAGGAAGCCTGCTTCTCCCTCTCCCACTCCCCTGCTTGTGTTCCCTCTCTCGCTGTGTCTCTCTCTGTCAAATAAA